TTTGTTTTGACAGATAAATAAAATATTTCCTATTGCATACTCCAGCAAGATCCAAAACTTTCTAGCAAACTTCAAAGTTAGGCAAAATAAATGGCGATTGAAGAATCGTAAATTGTAACATATCGGTATTTCACATGAAATGCTCTATTGAATAATTCTTCTTGCACATGAAATACGAAAAAATACAACCACAGCATGCACGCCTCCATTTCATTTCATGTCGTTCGTCTGTAGGTAGAATTTCTATGCAACTATCAGTATTTACTGCATCGATGAATGGTTGTGTAGATGTTTAGTTTTAAATTGTCAATTCACTGACAGTCATGTCGTGAATGATACGTCCCTTGTTCTTACTAAAAGACATTTTTCGGTTCTCACGTTCTCGTTTCGAACGTCCCTTTAGGTCTGTGTCACACGAACGTTGCGGTAAGAAGCGCGCGTCGTAGATAGCTCATGCGGAACGGCCTAAGCGCTCGTTTTGCAGATGTACGAGTATAGGACGCGCGTCAACGCAACGCTCGTGTGCAGGGGCGCGTCACCTGCATGGAGGCGTCGTCGGGGGCGGCGGCGGCGGCTGCTGTGGCCGCGGCGGTGGCGGCGGGGCCGGGGCCCGGGCCGGGGCCGTGGGCGGGCGCGTGGGGCGCGCGCGCAAGGCGGGGCTGGCGGCGTGCGCGGGGGAAGGGCGAGGCGCGGGCGGCAGCGGCGTGGGCAGGCGCTCGGCGTCCCAGGCGCGCGGCCTGCGACGCGCGGCGCCGCGGCGGAGGGGCGGCGTGCCGGCGCGGGGCCCGGCGCGCGCAGGGCGCCGTCGCGCCGGTAGCAGAAGCCCGGCCAGTGCGTCTCGAACATGCGCACGCGCGCCGCCTGCCGCGCGCCGCCACAACACCTCGTTTATTCATTCATACATTCATTCATTGTAATACAACGGGAAACCTACAGTTTGCCCCGGCTGAACGCAGGAGAGAACACGCACTGCACCTACACGAATAATGACCTTAGCAGTTGACACGCCGGTAATCACTAATCAATCACTCAATAAATCAATCAAATAAACTCGGTGGTTTCAGCAGAAATATTGTGTAACTCCGTAATTGTAATATAGCGAGAGGAACAAGAAATGACCTTCCACAAACAGAATTTTTAACTATTCGTCAGTTACAGCTTTACATAGACAAACATGTTTCGAGGTATTTTATCTCATCTTCAGTGCTTTAAATGATTAAATTTTGTACTTTTTAAATAAATTCATATACATTAAATAATTACATTTTTTAGTAGCGTGTTTAGTTTTTTAATAGTATTTTATAGTTTTCCTTAACATCCTGTTGAAGACACTGAAGATGATACCACGAACCATGTTTGTCTATGTAATGCTGTAAGTGACGAATAGTGAAGTTAGTTAAATTCTGTTTGTGGAAGATCATTTCTTTTCCCTCCCGTTGTATTACAACTATGGAGTTCCACAATATTTCTGCGGAAACCACCGAGTTTATTTGATTTATTTATTTATTGATTGATTAGTGATGACAACTGCTAAGGTCATTATTCCCATAGGTGCAGTGCGTGTTCTTTCCTGTGTTCAGCTGGGAGGTCTCTCAGCATGTGTGGTAGCAATTTATTTTCTGCAAAGAATGATTAGTTTTGTGGGCTGATTGTTTCATTAGTGGTTCCGGGCACATCAACAGCTAATGCCAATAGTTCCGTAAGTGTAGTACATTTTTTCTCGGGAGGGGTGGCGGTCATGATGGATGGTGAGATCCTGCGCCGACCTTCGAGGGATTCATTAGTCTCGCATTGGGTAGGAAGAAGGGGGAATTCACCAGATTCAATTATTTCCACTAACCCCACCCATTACTAGACTGATGATGACGGACGGCAACGCCGATGATATTCCATCAACTTTCAGTATATTTATAAGAACTTTTCATATCCGCTTATCTGGATTAAATCCACATCTAATATTCAAATGTATTTGTTTGGCCAATCTATTTATATAAAGGAGGCTCCACACATTCGGTACTGTTCGGCGAGTTGCGAGCAACTGCTCGCCGAATCCCGAGAAGTGTTGACGGATTTCTTGCTATCTGCCGAGCGACGAACAATCAGCGCTCGTCCAACACACCGCATGTCACTCTTTTGTGCACACAAAAGGGGGCGAACATTCGTCGAGCACGTCAGATGCCCAGAATAGGACAGTCACTCGCTACTCGGCGAATGCAGAATGTGTGGAGCCGCCTTAACTTAAACTTATTAATACGAGGGTCGGTCAAAACGTAATACCTCTTATTTTTCTACTTAAATAAAATTAAATACAAAATTGGAATATGGCTCTATTCCTCAAACCTCCTTCTACAATTCACTACAGTAGTAACTATCTGCGTCAACATGTAGCAGCACAGCAGTCGTTTGCAAAATGGCCGACATCATATTCGTAAGAGACTGCGTTGACTGATTGCATTCTTGAATACAGAAGGTGAAATACCGCTTCGCATTCAAGAAAGACTGAAAAAGGCGTACCAAGATGCAACAGTGGGTGTGCTCATTGTTTCACCATGCGTTCGTCGCTGTCCGAAGCTGAATAACAAACACCATGGGCTGACGAAAAGCAGAGCGGTAAGTCAGTTACTACAGTCACTCCACGTCACATTCAGCAATTGGATGACATCGTTCGTGAAAACCGGCTGGGTAACTGCAGATGAAATGAGGAAGATAATGAGACCCTATTTATCTAACAGTTCTGATATACACTGTTACGTCTGAATGACCTACGTACAATATTTTCTCGCCTACTTTAATATATTTTTTTTTCGACATCGTTAGTCCGTTCATTCCTGCACATTTTGAAAGCACTTTCCCCCCCACAAACGAACGCCGGCGCTGCTGCTGCGAGAGTGACCTTGGCGTCGGCGGGCGCCAGCTGCTCGGCGGCGGCGGTGGTGGCGGCGGCGCGCACCAGCGTGGCGCTGGGCGGCAGCGTGGACGCGAGGCGCGCCAGCACCGACGACGAGGGCAGCGGCGCGCGCGTCGTGTGCACCATGCCGCGGCACACGCGGTGCTCCAGCGTGCGCAGCATGCGCAGCTCCGACACCTGCGCCAGCGCGCACGCGCCACGCGGGCAGTAAAACACGGTTTATCCACGCTTTCCTTTCCATGGGCAGGGTTGCCAGATTGGGCGGATTTGGGGCTGGAAATCGTCTCTCTCTCTCTTGCGGGACAAATTTGATTTCGCGGAATACCGCCCAATGGGCGGAAAGACATCAAAATGTGAGCTGTTTTGAATTTCTACGAGCCATCGTAAACGTTTACCACCCGAATGATTATAGTGAGGTACATTTACTTCTTCGTTTCTGGCGCGTGCCATGTCATGGCCCACCTGCTGGTGCTCCAGGCGCAGGAGCTTCTCCTGCAGCTGGCGGTGGCCCAGCCGGTTGCGCAGCAGGGCCAGCACCACATTGTCCAGCGTCGAGGGCTGCGAAGCCCATGCATGGAAAGGGGCAAAAGGACCAAAGAAAAAAATTAGTAAAAAATATTGGGATAGGATTGATTGATCGTTTGTGATTCCGGGCGCGTCAACTACTAAGGTCTTTCGTGCCATACGGGTAGAACATGGTTTCCGCTCTAAGATCCCAACCGGTTCCCCGGCATGTGTGGAAGTGTAGTGCATGTTAGTTCCCCGTCATTTGTGTACGTAGAGGTGAGGAGAGGACGAGGAAGAGGCAGGAAAGATGGCACGCGGTCAATGGCCCCATTTGTTAGGGTACTGCTCCAGCATTCGTATGGTGTTGATCGGAGAAACCACGGAAATCTACCGATCAGAGTAACCGCCTGCTAGAATTCTCCTCCATACACAGTCTAAATTCGACCTTGCAGACAAGCTAGTGTCGAAGATAGCCTCAGGACTCGAACCTAGGATCTTAGAGCAACTGCAGTGATATCAGTTGATGCCTTGAACCATTTCTTCTGGTTTGTGATAGGAAAGAGAAAGGTGGGGGAGACGAGTTACGCGGTAAGTTCCATAACTTTCTGGCCTCACTACCACACACATTTTGAAGCAAAACTTTACTAATTAATCATACATTACTCAAACCAACTTTTAAAATTTGTGTATTAACATTTGTAAGCCTTTGAAAGTAATATTTCAAACGTTTGTCCGAAAAATGGTAAAAAATTACTTCTTTCAGCTCACACAGAAAATTATCTTCTCTGAAGGTTTTTGTTCAATTTTGATAAGTGGTAGACAACACTTGGTGTCCAATCTAGACTGTAATGTGAATGATTCAACTCCTTAAAGTCATAGTTCTTCACAACCCTTTTTTCCAATGTCAGTAGTAAGCACAGTCGTGAACAAGCTAAACATCATGAGATTTCTCGCACCGCATCCACCTCAAGTACCTCTCTCCACAAAACTGAGTGAGATGACCCCTGTAAATGTATAGCCTTATAACAATTAAAGATATAATACTATAAACTGCTGAGAAAGGTTTCTCATGGGTGAACGATATCTTGGTCAGGCCGGAAACGTATGGAACAGCACATGTAAAAGCGGTATCGGTTGTGTTAATTTAGTATGCAGTATACCACGTTAGTGTTATTGTAGAGTGTTTTTCTGAGCTCAGGTGTTTGATGCCAGTCCAAGTCGTAATGTTTGTTTATATAACAGCACATACTTTCTAGTTTTATGTGTAGCTTTCAAACTTTTCTAAAATTTAGTGAGTCCAACGGAAACGAGATCTGCGCCTTTTTTAAACGTTAAGTCATCAACGTGTCCTGTAAAATTAGATGTGTACAGGCTTTTTACGTTGCGCAAATAAGAGATGACGGGTGTCACGAGAGAAAATAGTGGTTAGGGGTGAAGATGGTTTAAACAGGTACTACAGTGGGTTCGCCGTTACGTCACAGACCGCTCTACGAGGGACTTACATGTCGGTTTCTGGTGTTTCGATTCATGGCTGCGAGTCGAGCTCTCTCGACAAGAGAGAAGCGTCACCGGGCGACGATGGCACGTCGTGGGCAAGGCGGCTCAATTGTCGAAGCGCCGCATGGGAGCAGCACTGTCGCTCGGCAGCCGAGACAACTACGTCCAGGGACCCACGAACAGTCGAGCGTCGCTGTTCCGAGTGGGAATGAGGCGAACTCAAACAAGAAATAATGAAATACAGTTTTTTTTCAAGAATTAAAAACACTTTGAACAATTTTTTTCTCACTTGCATGGGAGGTTATGGGAGAGAGATCCGAAAATTCTTGTTTGGAAATCTCTTGTTATAGAAAATAAACTAAGAGTGGTATGAAATGTACATATAGAGATTCTATTTTAACATGGAAATACCCTCAACGTAATTGAGATTACAAATTGCCACCAAAATGACGTGTCTTCAAAATTTCTTAAATTCAATTTCGTTAGAAGTGTCAATTTTTTTACTTCTTAAAGACCACTTGAAAAACCTTTCGGTGGTGGCGGCCTCAGTCAACTGATGGGACCAGACATTTTTTTTTTCAAATCTTTCCTAACATCCTTAAAGAGTTTTCGAAAAATGTTTTAGGTGTTTTCAATGCCAGACTCCCTTCTTATACACACTCGTACACACATTCTTAAGTCACTCGTCAAACTTGCAGACCCTGCTGAACGCATCATAATTGGAAGAGAACCAATAGGAAAATCAATATCAAAAATCATCAAAAAATATAATATTGTTATTTGTACATTGCTTGTATTGTAAATTGATGGAGTATAGCTAATTAGTAGATGAAGTTGACTTAGTCTCGTGTATTCTGATCTAATTGGTGATTGTAACTCGATCTTTACGGCACATTTTATTTAAGTTCGCTGGTTGCAGAACTGTCTGTCTTCTTGCCCAACAGATCTTGCAATCATGACTCCACTTGATTTTCATTCTTCTTTCGGGTACTTCCAGATATCATTCGTGATTTATGCTCATTTTTCACCGATTGAAGGTAAGTTCCATAACTTTGTGGACCATGATTTCCTAGTGCAGCTTGTGGTAAATTTTGATGAGGACGAATTCAGACAGTATTTAACAGTAACAAGGTATTTACCAAGTCTTTGAATAAGATGTCTAGTTCCTGAATCTTGACAGCCATTTCAGTGCTTGAATTTTTGTTGTATCATAGTTTTATTGTAGAGAGAGGTTTTGTGAATACTGTTATAAGTACGACGATTGATGTATCATTTTAATAACTGTCATTAAAATATAGATTTCAGCAGTATTAGAGCCGCAGTGATGTAATGAGAATTTAAATTTTTCATTGGTATATACATTGCGGCTTCATTTTCTTGAACACGTTTATAACTAATCTAGTAATTTTTATATTTCTCAATTAAAATTCTTTAAATTGTGTGTTCCGTTCTTGTTTTGTTGAGTTGGTATGGTAATAATCAGTAAATTATAATTATACTGACACATTTTCTATTGTCATGGAGGTATATGGAATTGTCTGTTTCTCAGCACTAATATTTTAAATATTTACTTCTTTAATTTGAAACACTATTCTACTGTACAACGGTTCATTCGAAAGGTAACTATTGTAGATATTATTCAGCTAAGGGAAAACATTTTAGTCTATAATTAGAGTAGTACACGAGGTGGCTTTTTACTCACGGCTGAAGGTTTTCCTTAAGGGGTCTAGCAAGGTTTCTTGGACTTCAATAAGTATACTGGATGCTTCTAGTACAAATTCTAAGCTCTTTGTTGTGTATTAATTGTAGTTTTCTCAGCACTTTTTTATTAGTAGAGTTTTAAATAAGTGAACCATAGTCAATTTTTGATCAAACGATAGCTTTGTACATTAGTAGCAGGATGATTTTAGCAGCTCCCCAGTTGTTGTTGAAGAGGTATTTAATTATTTTAGATCGACATGCAACTTATCATATAAGTTGCATATCGATCTAAAATAATTAAATGTTTAAAAAATGTTAAGTTTGTTCTTACATTCGATGGTTAATTCTTGTCAGTAGTTTTTACATTTTAATCTTAGAACAAATTGGAGTCCAAGAATATGAATTTTGTTTAAAAAAAGGAAGGCATTGCAAGCCGAAGTTTAGGGGATACCAGTTATCATTGAAAAAATCATTAATTTTGTTTTCATGGCAGAAAATAGTAAGGTTTATCCGTAAACAGTGCTAGTGTAATAGGTGTTCAAAAATTAATCCGTCCGCATTACGTTTGAATACAATAGTATATTCAAACATTAGCGAGTAAGAGAGCATCGAGGTATTAAATTCAAGAGTATAGATTACGGCACAGATAGGTAATGTAATGGGTATAGAAGGTTCTTATCGCAAAGTGAAGGTAAAGTTGGTATAATCTGCCAATATAATTGTTTGGAAGGAGAGGTGTTGATCAGAAATTAATTCCAAATAAAAGTAGTACAGATTAACTTGAATATGTTTGGATATGAATATATGTTAATTTGAGATATGATATGGCATATGTGACATGTGTTCACAAATTATTGAAATACCCACATCATAGTGACTTTCATCCTTATATTTCATCCATATCTGTAATTCTGTCATATCTAATGTTATTGCGCCAAATGACTGCACAATTTTTAAAATCAATACATTTCTTAGAGTTTTACATGTGTTTACAGATAGACGATAATCTATCACGTCACCTCATTAGAATTGTAAAATAAGTTGAGTGAGAATGAAGACTTTCCTTGTCAAACTAATTTTCAATTAAAGCTGAATTACTCTCACTACATGTGCATGTGTTTCAGGAAAATATGACTCAATATTATGACTAGTAATAATATAATAATAATAATAATAATAATAATAATAATAATAATAACAACTATTAAGGAAGACAAATATACGAACGATCTTCTTTGTTAGACTGATTCAATCTAGCATACATATTATACTATACATACAATCTAGCATACTATTAAATACTTTTTAATTATTTTTGGCATAATGTGTGCATATGAACATTGATACTTATTTTCAATAAATAGCATAGGATTATCGTAGACCTTATCTTAGATCCTCATAGAATGCAGTGTCTAGTTACTGTAACCATGCGGAAACACGTGCCAGATGAGCGAGATGAGTTTTTTTTTAAACAAAATTTATATTACATTTTAAGGTATTAGAAAGTTCAATTCACTCTCTACATTCGTATTTTTGGTTCAAAATAAACATAATGCTAATAACGTAAATCTAAAAACCACATTTTGGAAGGAAGAATCCTTTATGGAGCGGACCTCAGGGGTATTACATCTCGGAAAAATTTGAAAAGTAGGTATAGAAGGGAAATTATTTTCAATACGTACTATGTTATAAGTGGGATTTCTGCGTTACCGGAGAGGAAGTATTCTGGTGATTTGAGGTAAGCTATGATAAAAACGTGAGTGAAGATAGGAGATGTGGTTTACATGTGATACAGGTTCGAGGCACGTACACGCGCTCAGAGCAACAACCGCGAAATAAATCAACGCCAAGCGATTGAGTTACGAAGGGTAATGAAATTATGTTAAGCCGTAACTCAATATCACTTGCTAACTGGCAAGGGGGGGGGGCAATCAAGAGCAGACTTTCAGTCAGATAGGGTGGGTGAGGGGGAGTAAAGAATGCCTCTGTAAAAAATAAAAATTCATAATAAATCAAATTTGAAAAACTGCCCATAGCACTTCATAAATTTGAAACAGCAGGTTTACCTAGAAAGAAGTCATTAAAAAATGTTGAAGACATGAACATGTCTTTGGAATTAGTGTTTGGAGATGAGTGTGTGCCAATGGGTGTGGGAGCCATTATACAAAGTGTTAAATTCAAATCGTGTTTTGAAATTTCTTGAAAACGTAAAAAAATATATTTGTGGTAAAAATTCAGAAAATGCAGAATTTCACCTCACGTTGGCTTAGATGTCATGAAGTATGATCCAAGTCCAATACATATTGTGACGTAGATAGCATTTGTCTCTTACAAGAGGATGAATTTGACTGAATGAAATTTAGGGGGAAATTATTCACTGTTACAAAATGCAATAAAATGAAAAATATACTAGACTACAATTTGACTGTGCATGTTTTGTCAATTTCTACCCTGCATCGTGTATGATTGGCACTTCGATAGCGCATGCTTGCATGCATATTTTAGCTGTTGGCAGTGCACGGATATCCTGTCTCTAACAATTATACATGTGCCCTTAACTCAATAAGAGTTTTCAACACATACATCGAATTAGAGTAGAGTAAAAATCTGAGAGCATATTGCGCTGAATGTCCGAATTAGAATTCTGTTTTAGAGATGCGGAAATTATGTGACGTCTAAATTGATTCTCTCTTACATTTTATTATCATTAGTATTATTTATTCAATTTCTTAGTTTTAACGCAACACAGGTTCAAATCCACATTGAAAGAAATGTTTTAAAAAGTTTTATTTTTTATAATTATCCAAAATTTAGAAAATTACAATTTATTTTAAAAAGTTACTCTATAGAATCTTAAAATTGTTGTAGAGAAGAAAAAATCTAAAATGTTGAAACATATCGATATTTCCTACCAAAAACACTCATGTTGCTAATTATTAACAAATAGATAACATTTTCCATCATCAGTTCTTTGTAATAAAAAAAATTCAAACATACTTTCACGCGTACAAGAAATACGCGTACAAGTCTTAAAATCAGCTTCTTCATCTAGAACGATGTTTAAAAATCCATGTTTACGACAAAAAGTAAACAAAATGAGTAATTTCATTTGAGATAATTTCGTCGTTAAGGAGAACTATTCCCATTCTTATTCGCAATATCCTATTTGTATGTGCATTACAAGTTATAGATAGTATTTTTCGAGACAATATGTGTGTATCACAAGTTATAAAAATTACTAGTATCTTGGCACTGCAATGTCTTTGAATAACTAAGTGAAACTCGCTAGTGTAATATTAAAAATTCGAAGATAAAAAATAATAAAGAACACTCTGTTAAAAACTTGTTGATCAATGCAGTTAATTTAACAACAGGTTAATCCAATTTGAGAATTTTCCATAAATAGGTCACTACTCACGGTTTTGAACATCGCAGAAATCGCAGCTATATAAGAGAAGAAAATGCCTTTCTGGATACCAAACACAATGTTTATTCTGTGATAAAATTTAGCTAACTC